TAAGCATTTTAAAATTTATATGCCCTAAACGTCTGTGTAACAAATGTATGCACTCATCATGAGGTTTAACATTATTATATACTGTGTTAGCTACCTCTAAATTATCATTTAACACGTACAAGTCACCTTTTAAAGTTGCAGTCACTTTTTTACCTTCTTTTTCTATTATGCAACTTTCTCCCCTAAAGGTAACTACATAACCTAGTTTAACCAAAACTCTAACCGAAAGCAAATTAAACTTAAGTTGTGGTACATATAACATTTTTACATTTTCTTTTATGCAAGAACAATATGCAGTACCTTCAACTTTTGCTTTCATTTTCCAGCCATTAGCTAACGATATCTGCTGTGAACTCGTGGACATCTTAACAAATCTTTTCTTATCTTTCGTTATACAGTGCGATGCTCCACTATCTACAACCCATAAATTATTATTCACAGTTTCGTTGCTATACATGGCTAACTCTATGCATTTTTTATCCTTTTGATGCCTTTTAGCATTCTGGCTGGCATTTTGGCATTTTCCTTTCTTGCAGAATCTAGCCAAATGTCCTTTTCCTCCACAATTAAAACATTTTCTAATTGTATAGGCTGACGAAGATATTTTCTCTTCTTCACATTGTGGTTGTTCCCTTCTGAGTTGATCCCTTTCAAGCCTTCTCCTGGCTTCTTCAATTAACCTGCCAGTAATGTCAGTTAATGTAAGGTTATCTTTTGGCAGAACTTCAAGTGAAGTTACATAGTTATCGTAGCTCTCATTTAAAGAAGACAAAATTATGTAAACTTGATGTAATTCTGTGAAGATAAGTTCTTTTTCATGCAGTTCCTGAAAAATTCTCTTCATTGAGTTTATATGATTCAGCATGTCTCCATTCTTTTGAAGATGTGTTCTAAACAACTTCCGTGTAAGATTTATATGTGCTCCTACACTGTCTCGAACATAAATCTTCTTTAAATTCTCCCAACATTTAGCAGCTGTTTCTTCTCCATGAATATGGACAAGCTGCTGGTCAGAGTGTCAGTCCTATTATACAGAGAGCTTGCTCATTCTTCTGTTTATATTCTTGTATTTTCTGGGCATCATCCTCATCCTCCGGATCCCATGCATCTACCTCTGGTGGGTTTTGTATTATATTCCACAAACCTTCTCTGCGTAGAAGTAGGCTGCATTTCATAGACCATGAAACATAGTTTGTTCCATCCAGTTTGGATATTAGAGACAAACTTTGTAAATTGACTTGTGCCATCTTTTTCTGGATATTAAACTATAATTAATAAAACACAGCTGTCTGTTTACAGTATTGTGTAACTACACAAACTCTCACTCACAAGCCTGTTATATCCTGGTTAGTCTGACTGTGCACCTGGGCCCATAACCAGTGTTAGGGATATACACCCTAGCAGAACATGCAACGGTAGTCAGTCAGGCAGGCAGATATGTGAGATAAACATTGTAGTTTACACTCAGTAAATCAGATACACTGTGCCAGTTAAATTGTTTTTATTCCAGTAAGAGTTATAGCATAGTCAAACAGTCCATATATCATACACTTAGTTCAGTCTGTCCAGGGATTATCCATTAGCAAAGTCCAGTGTCGAAAAAGAGGTCAGTAAACTTACAAATAATCAGTCCAGTAATATATCTCTTTTTGCAGTAGAGATATGAAGAAAATCAAACCTCTTTTCTTCGTTCAGCAATAGCAGGGAAAACACGCAGTTATCACCATCAATCCATCATTGTCAGCAATCCAGTAAAAGCCAGCAAACAGTGAGCTCTCTTGCTCCCTCTTATGGTGATTTTACAACCGCACCCAAAATACATGTTTTACAGTTAAAGTGATACACACAATCATAGTCTATATATATTATTTTACCCAAACTAAGTTAGGTAACCATGTTATTCCTAACAATAACCATTCTTTGGTTTTGCCAGACAGACTCCACAATTACAGGCTTCCTGATTTACTTTGAAGTGTGTGCCATGACCTGTCTTTATTTTAGCAGATGGCCCATCCTACCTAATCGACACACGATTGAAATGGAATGGATTTATTGTATATTAAAAATAAAAAAAATAATTTTAAAAAAAGCGCTGGAGTAACTTCGGAGCGGAGTTTCCTGCCATCCGGCCCTTGACATTTCCCCCCCCCCCCCCCCATTCATTCCCGGTCCTGTGATAAAAGCAGGCAATCCAAGATGGCTTCCTCGCCTAGGTAACTAACCCAACTGCCTGTTTGCGCGGACCTGAGCGCCAAGGAAACGCAACTTCCCACAGGCCCGCCGCGTCCTTCGCTAATGGCAGTTTATTTGATATCGCACTGAGCCATCGCCGTGGAGGAGGAGCAAAACAGGTGCCTATTTAGACAGCTTCCTCTAAGGAAGGCCCCCACTCTCGCTGCCTTCCTCCGCAGCGAGCGGGCGAGAGACTTCCGGGAAGGTTTCTCAACTTAAAATGCTTGTTTGCTTCACCCACCCCACCCCGCAGGCCGCGTCCGCTTCCGAAGCTCAATGGGGCCTTTTCGGCGGCGAGCCATAGGCTAAGCGAGCGTGGTGGGCGGGGCTTGGAGGCATCCAAGCGAAGTTAGGTTGCACCGTCCATGTTCGGCTGCCTTGTTCTCTCTTCTCTCTCCGAGAGGGGAGGGGGCGGGAGGAGTGAGCGGCTCCTCAAAAGGGCGAGGCGGAGGTGGGGAGAACCACCCACCTACCCTTCTCAGGTAAGACCCCGCTTTTTTTTTTTTTTTTTTGCAAACTCTTCCCCTTCACCGACCCACACGAGGGTTCGGGAGCGGGGGGTATTATGGGATGGTCCTTCCTCTTTGCAGGATGCAGGCCCGATGCAGGGGCAAGTCCCCTCCCCCCCTCTTGCTGTGCGGGAGAGGGGGCAATTTTAGACGGAATAAAAAAAAAAGGAGGAATCGAAGCTGGGCTTGCGAGCCGCCTTTGCTCTCTTCCCCCCTCCCCCCTTTTAATTGTTGAAAGGAAGGAACCATCGAGACTCGGCTTAGCAAGAGGAGAGGGAGGGAGGGGGTGATAGAGGGGGGACAGAGAGGGTCCTTCCCCAAATCCCACTTCCTCAATCCGCCTTTTTCAGCCTGCCAATCTCGGTTCGGCCCCGGTGCAAGGATGCCTGAAGGCGGGGATGCCGGGCTCCCTCGGGCCGCTGGGGATGCAAAGGCCCTGAAGGCCGTGGGGGGGGGGGGGGGGGGGCCGGGGCGCGGGTTTTTGGGGGGGGAGGCCCCCGGGGTCCATGTGACTGGGGGGGGGGCTTCGCTGCGCACCGTGCTGCCCTTGCAGGTCGGCATCCGTCAGGGGCGGCCTGAAACCTCCCTCCACACCCCCCGGGTGGGTGGGCTTCATTCAATAGTGAGGGAGGGGGAAGAACTGGGCCGGACTCGCAAGCCACTTCCCAAGGTTGTTGTGTGGCCCGGCTTTTGTGCCTTAGAAGAGCTGCTTCACCTGGGGGAGACCTACCTAACCCGCCTGCCTTTCCGACAGAAATTTCTGGCTGTGTCATATATTATGAAGATAATGATGGTTATCGTTGGTGGCACAGTCAGCCAGATGTTCAGACTGGGTTTGGCATTTTTTGTCTGCCTTTGGAGTCCTTTCCAAGGACCTGGGGTGATATTAGTATTAGTATTAATATTAATCTTCAATTCAATTCTCAGTCTGGGACTGGTAAAAACTTAACAGTTCAAATCCTAACCAAGGTTCTAAGAGCTGTTAAGGCAGCGTCTGAGTATATAGACGGTTCCAAATAGGATTTTTTTTTTTTGCAAAGTCAGAATATTCAGGGCTAATAACTTCAAAATTTCCATGTATCTAGGCAGCCCTTTGAGTATTGCTCCAAGGGTTCCTATTAACTATTGGTACAACCATTGATTTCTTCCTCCATAATTGCTCAAGTTCAATTTGCAAATCACAATATTTTTCTAGATGTTTCTCCTCAATTCGTGCCTCACCTGGTATTGCAATATCAATGAACCAGACTTCTTTTTCACAATAGTGATGTCTGGTAAAAACAGTTCAGTTTCTAACCAAGGACCTAAGAGCTATTGAGGTAATATCTGATCATAGAGGCAAATAGTAGGGTGGGGCTTTTTGTTTTTGTTTTGCAAAGTCAGAATATTCAGGACTAATAAATTCCAAATTATTGATCATTGCACAGTTAGCCAGATGCTCACAATTATCATCATGCAACTGCATTTGTCTAATTTCTACCCCTCCAAGGGGGTGCATTGCCCTCCTCTGTTTCAATTTGCCAGTCACAGCAACAAGGTCACAATAGAGTCTTTTTCTGTTTCACCTAGGTTGGGGGGGGGGGGGGGACCCATCATTTACTCAAGTTTGGCTGGAAACTGGAACTTCTGACCAGAAAATTGCAGCTGGAATACATTACATTCACGTTTTCTCAGACCAGAATATGACCTTAAGCTGCTCTGTTTTGAGATGAGGGGAAGAAGTGGGATTACAAACACACATAATTTTTCTGTAACTCTGCTTGGATTAGAGGTATTGGTGGAGAAAAAAGTGTGACTTGTAGTTTTTCAGAAGTCTGTCATCAAAATGTAGACATTATAACTACTGGTGTGGTGCTTGGTTAGCATGTTAGACTACAATTCCCACACCACCTCAGCCAGTGCAGGTTGTGGAAAACCAGCTTTGACCCTAGCGCGAAATTTCCAAAAGTATTCTCAAAAAAGCTAAAAGTGTTACAGTCATTTTCTTCCAGCCCTGATTGTTCATGTCTTTTTTTTCTTCTGCAGAATGCAGCTGCAAATCAATGCTTTTTACATGGAGGGTAAATTCTGTTAGACTCAGTGCAATTTACTGTTGGGTAAGTGTAGCTTTACCATTGAATGGCAGAAAAGCTATTTTATTATGTCTGTGTCAAAATAGGTGGATTTTAAAAGGTCCACGTGTATGTGTTTTAAGCTGAAACGGAAAGCCGTGTTATTGGAGAAAATAAAAAATAAAAACTATGGACCCAGTACAAGCGCACATATTAGAAATGTGCTCTTTTTTTTTTATAAAAGTTTTATTTAAGTTTTCACAAAACATACAAATACAAATAAAATATCTTTTTTTGAGAACAGCGTGACACCGGGTTATCACTTCTCCATACAGACATAAACTCAATACATATTTATCTTATGCATTCTAATCCATATCTTATAACTCTTTTCATAATTTTTAAATAGCTTTTCCCTTTATTTCCTATAGCCTTATTTTAAATTATCTCATTCCTTTCTTAATTCAATTACATATCTTTTTCTGATTTTTAAAATATTTCTAAATGTTTTTATACTTTCGTCTGTCCTGTTTACAATTTCATATTTTCTCATAAAACAAACTTTCCCCTGTAATTACTAGACTGGAGTGTAACACCTTTGTATCTTTTTTCAAATCTTGTTTAAAAATTTAAGTTACACCTTTACAGTTATAACATTCATTTTTTAACCTCTATTTTATAACACATACCTATTTTCAATCGAATTCTGCTTGGTACATTCCCTTAAAAATACACACTAAATTCTTAAAAGAAAAAAGTATGTATGTATATATATCTGTGTATATACGTATAACAATAGTAAATGGAATAATTATTCTATTCAAGTACAGCTCTGCCATTAATATAAATAACAATCTTTTACATTTCTATTTTAACAAACATTACCTAGTAATATCAGTTGTCTTTCACTTTAATCATCTATATTTCATATTTTACTTTTTACTGTCTTTAAATAAAAAACAAAACAATAGTTATTAACAGTAGTCAATAAAGTTATTATTCTTATTCAAATTCATCTTGTCAACTGATAAAAATCTTCCATGTTTCTTTTCAGTTTTTTTTAACTTTCTTTTTAAATCATTGAGAGCCTTATTCTCTTTACAAACAAATATTCCATTACACATCAATACAAATTTTTTCTATCACTTTAACCATCTAAACATATTTTCTAACACTTTTCTATTTCGAATATAACAATGCTATCCCATGCACCCTTGCAGAATCCTCTCCTTAAGTTAAATTTTAACCATTGTCTCTGTGTCTTTTAAATAGGTTAATACCTTTAATTCTTGTACGCTTTTCCTGTACCTTTATATCTTTTTTCTGTCCTTTGTAGCTTCTTTTCCTTTCCCTCTTCCCTCTCCTCTTCTCCCTCCCCTTTTTATTCCCTTTTCTATCTGATTCTCCCTTCTGTGATCCTCCCTTCTTCTTCCTGATATTATTGCTTTTCAAATTACTCTTTTTTTTGGTTGTTGCGTCAATGCTTAAGTTTTTAACACCCTTTCCCCCCTTTCCCTTTTTTAACCCGCTTAAAGTTGCTTGGTCATTAAAGATGGCTTCTTCTTTATCCCGCCCTTCTTCTGCCAGCGTTTCTTGTTGTTTTTCATAGTTCAAAATCTCCATTTCTAAAAATTGAAATATGAAGCCAAAAGATCCTCTTCCCTCTTGTGCTTCTTCTTTTTGTTCTTTAAGTCTCATTTTTGACTCTTCAAGGAGTGATGCCATTTTAAAAAAAATTAAACAACCCCCAATTGATTTTATTTTGCTTCATTAGGATCCACCATCCAAAATTCCAGGGATCATCCAATAATCCAAAATTCTTTCTTGTTTCTTTTCTCACTTTCTCTTTCCAAGGGCTTTGTTATCTTGTAACAAAGTTTCAGCTACAATGTAACTTTTGCAAGCCTTGTTAAAATTCCACTATCGATTTTTTTAAGTTCGAGGTGGTCTCCATTTTCCAGATTCCACCCTCTTGTTTTCTTTTTTTAAGAACATTTTTAAATTATCCAAGAATCTTTATCCCTTTGACACTTTATTTTCAGCTAGAAATAGCCTATTAATGTCAAAGTGGATTAGTATCAATTTCTTATTCGAATCTCTTCTCCTTAAAGTTCCAAGTCAATTAAAACTATTAATGTCAAAGTGGATTAGTATCAATTTCTTATTCGAATCTCTTCTCCTTAATGTTCCAAGTCAATCAAAACAATGTGAGAAGAAAAAAAGCCAATTCCGTTTCCTTTCCCTTTCACCGCTTAAGATCTTTTTTAGGAATAGTATTAGTCTTTAAAATTCAAGTTCCAGGTACCTTAAGTAGATGTTCTCAATTCAACCCAGTCAGTCAAACTTTCTCCTTTAAACTTCTGCACAATCTTGTCTGGTCGGGTTCTTCTTTGAGGTGGCCATTTCTGACCACCGCGACAACCGCCTTTGGGAAAGGGAGTAATGGCCAGCCGAGGAGGAGAGGTGCGGCTCTCCTCAACCCCGCTGACGGCTCCCCCTTCACCACCTTTACGGGGTGGCTTCAGCCCCGAATTTGGGTGGCTCGGGGTGCTCCATGATCACGGATTTCGGTCCGTCGCCGAAGAAGCCCGAACCGGAAGTCAGAGAAATGTGCTCTTTAAATGAGTGTGAAAGGGCAGCTTTGGGGGAGTTTTTGCAGTTGAGAATGTATCTTTTCATTTTCTTTTTCAGTATTTCTGATAATATAGTGGCACAGAAATCCTGTGCACTTGAAAGCAAAGGGGCTTATCCACCTGTAAGTGGGTTATAGGTCTGAAATATTTCTGACCTGTTTTGGCGTCCCTGTTACCGAATGCTCCAATGCTGGAAGTTTTTAAGAGACTGGACAGCCATTTGTCTGAAACAGTATAGGACTTACTGCTTGAGCAGGGGGTTGGACTAGAAGACCTCCAAGGTCCCTTC